CGGGGCTGGCATCAAAAAAGTTTTTTTTCCTTTCTCTCCAAAAAATTCCTGATACCACACAGTCTTTGAGGCAGACAATTATGGTTGCAAATTATCTTGTGTTAATAAATATTACAATGATACAAGCATCAACTCTGTTGATAATCTGCCACTAGGGTCTGGAGTTCACTAATTTCTACCTGAACAACAGGAAGAGAAAATAGTACACTGCATATAAAGTATTCTCCACCCCCCCCCCTCCCAACTTGCACTGATTTCAACTTAGGGCTTCCTGCTCTCATTCAGCTTTTTCTGCTCACAGCTAGCACCTACCACTTGAGCCACATCTCCACTTGTCTTTTTGCTGATTAATTGAAGAGTCTCTTGATTTGCCTGCCATGGTTGGCTTGACACCATAATCCTCAGATCTCAGCCTCCTGAGCAGCTAGGAATGAGTTAGTATGAGTTACTAGGACCCGGCATGAAAGATTAATTATTAATTACTAATGTGCCCCCTCTGCCTCACTTATGTTTGCTGAATGAAGGAAGTAGCAGCCTACTGCTACATCATACACTGATAGGAAAATAAAACTGTTACAAAATGACAAATCAAAACTTAAAAGACAATATAAATTATATAGACACCCATAGCTATCTATATAAAAAATGAAACGGCTAGGAGCTGTAATCCTAGCTACTCAGGAGGCTAGATTTGGGAGTTGTGGTGTGTCAGTCCTGGGGCCTAAACTCGGGGCCCAAGCCAATCAATTGGTTAAGGCTAAGCTCTACCACTTGAGCCACAGCTCCACTTCCAGCTTTTTGCTGCTTAACTGTAGATGAAGTTTCCTGAATTTTCCTGCACAAGCTAGTTTTGAACCATGATCCTCAAATCTCAGCCTCCTTATTAGCAGGAGCCTCCTGATTAGCAGGAGCCACCAGGGCCCATCTAAACATACTTCTAAATTTCACCAGTAATATAGGTTCAATTACAATTTAATACAGTTTAAATTAAAAATTAATGTACTCATGCACCACTAGCAAATTTATGTATGGTTTATACATGCCTTAGGGCATATGCCAAGTAAACGGAAACTAAAGCTGCAATGGTATGGTTTTAACATGTTTCACATCTGTTAAAATATTCTCATACTGGATCCAGGTGTAATGGTGTACTCTTTTAAGACCAGCACTTGGAAAGCTAAGGCACGAGGTCAGGAAGTTCAAGGGCAGCCTTGACTACAGAGCAAAAGCCTGTCTTATTTATAGACTTACAGACCGATAGACATCCTTATCCTCAAAGTAACACAAATGACTCCTTTTAGCCAATCTAGTTTAAAATGGTTAGGTAACTTTTTAAACTCTCAAAAAAAGTATATCAGGATGCACCCAATATGAAGTTCCATCAGGATATTTGATATTTAACTTCAAGTTTCTTTTCTATTTTATGCTTTATAACAATTTGATAAATTAGAAATAAAATTAGTTGTGTGTTGTTTTTTTCTTTCCCAAATCTAGAAATTCAGTTTCTTCTTGGAGGAGGGTGGGGGTGGTTAGGGGAAGGGGGTTTGAACTCAATGCCTGGATGCTGTCCTTCAGCTTTTTTGTTCAAGGCTAGCACTCTACCACTTGAGCCACAGCTCCACTTCCAGCTTTTTTGGTACTTAACTGGAGAAAAAGTCTCAAGGAATTTCCTGCCCAAGCTGGCTTCGAACTACAATCCTGAGATCTCTGCCTCCTGAGTAGCTAGGATTACAGGCATGAACCACCAACTCCTGGCTCAGTTGATTTTTTAATTCACAAATCTAAAGCATAATTTCCTATGACTACAATAGCAATACCATTTACTCATTCAACAATTCTACAATTAGAGGTTTAGAGACTAGTACATCCTTTTGAAAAGGATTACAGGCATGAGCCACCAACTCCTGGCTCAGTTGATTTTTTAATTCATAAATCTAAAGCATAATTTCCTATGACTACAATAGCAATACCATTTACTCATTCAACAATTCTACAATTAGAGGTTTAGAGACTAGTACATCCTTTTGAATAGGCCCAAGTTTCTTAAATCAGAATTAAGTGGGTTTTGTTGTACACCAATCTTATAAAGATGCCACTTGACCAAAATCAACTAAATTAATTTGGAAAAGATAAAACTTCTCCAAATCTTAACAGGGGATGGGCTGGGAATGTGACTTAGTGGTAAAGTGCTTGCCTAGCATGCATGAAGCCCTGCGTTCGATTCCTCAGTACCACATATACAGAAAAGGCTGGAAGTGGCACTGTGGCTCAAGTGGTAAAGCACTAGCCTTGAGCACAGAGAGGCTCAGGAACAATGCCCAGGCCCTGAGTTTAAGTCCCAGGACCAGCAAAAAAAAAAAAGGAAAGTGTAACATTACTACTAGCACAAAAGAAATTTCCAAGATATTCTATATACAATGTAGAAAAAATACCCATAAAATACCCATCCGGGACCGGGAAGGTGGCTCAGTGGTAGAGTGTTTGCCTTGCATGTATGAGGCCTTAGGTTTGATTCCTCAGCATCACATAAGTAGAAAAAGTTGAAATGGAGCTATGGCTCAAGTGGTAAAGCACTTGTCTTGAGCTGAAGAGCTCAGGGATAGTGCCCAGGCCCAGAGTTCAGGCCCCCCAACTGACAAATATAAAAAATAAAATAATTTCCATCCTATTTGTTATTCCTATGTAGTCCTATTATTTCTATATATCTATAAATTCAATGCTAAAGATCCCACCACTTGACAGTTTTTATAATTTTCAATCTATAGTGAAAAGATTAAAACTAGATGTACTGAATTTGGGAGAATTCTAAAGATGTAGTCTACAATGCTCACTCAGCTATCAGTAACCCAAATTTTATCAAGTTTCCCCAAAACATCATCAAAATACAGGCAGAACTTGACCCATAACTTTTTGTCAGTCATAGGTCTTGAACTCAAGGCCAGGATGCTGTCCCTGTGCTCTTTTTGCTCAAGGCTAGTGCTCTAACACTTTAAGCCATAGCTCCACTTCTGGTTTTCTGGTAGTTAATTGGAGATAAGAGCCTCACAGACTTTCCTTCCTGGGCTGGCTTTGAACTACAAACCACAATCCTCAAATCTCAGTCTCCTGAGTAGGTAGGATTACAGGCATGAGCACCTGGCCCAATAACTTATTTTAGACTCTTTAAGTCATATATTTGGCCCAGTCTTAAAACAAATTGGCTCAACAAGTATCCAACGTGACTTCATCTCCACTCCCATCCCATATTTAATTGGTTCTAAAAAAAAAGTTCAACTTAATCCTACCTACTTCACAGGTTGGACAGCAGTGGCTTATGGCTGTAACTGTTCAAAGGCTGAGATATGGAGAATTGCAGTTTGAAGCCACCAGGATACAGAAATCTACAAGACTCCAAACAACCAACAAAAAGCCAAACTTGAGGCATGGCTCAACTGGTAGAGCACTATCTGGAATGGCAACTGTTAAGACCTGAATTAGAAACATAGTAGCAGAAAACAAAACAAAAAATCCATATAAATAAATGACTGCCTCTCATAAGAGCTACATTTTGCCTTGACTTTCTTTATGACCTTGAGCAAAGCCTACCAAATGAAGACTATAATGATGTTTGTGTTCCTGCTTATTACTAAAACTTAATTCTAATATGTTGCTTAACAGTAGTGACGCTCTTTATCTTGCTAACAATATTGACATTCTTTCAACTGGACCTATGGAGCTGAAAGCTTGCATTACAATAAATATCAACTGATACATAAGATAACCAATTTTTAATCTTGACTACTGAGGGGACTATAAAGATCCAAATCCTACATGATCAAAAAGAACAAATTCCGAAAAACAAAGAGGCTCCTTATATTAAAAAAAAACAAAAGATAAGTAAAACTAGCTTTAATTTGCCATTTACCCTCTCCTTTTTAAAGGATAACTACTGAACCGCAAACGAAAACGTAAAACATAGCAAAGAATAGTGAGTCAGAATATGAAGCAATCTACAATCTGAAAATTATGCAGATAAATCTATTATTTCAAGTCACTAATTTGTATACTCACATAGAGCAGTAATCTTGGTACTGCCTTACTAGCATTCCAAAGACAAATCCCTGCCTTGGAGGAACATCTACTGAGTACATTTCATTTCAAGATCTTAGGATAGTTTAAGAGCTGTATCTCTCTACAGGCTTCCCTGAGATACTCTTAAAAGTGCTTAACATCACTCACACATCCAGCTACCACTAGGGTGAGAAGTAAATAAACACGATTTACTTATGCAATTATTAGCCACAGAATTCTGGCCAAGAACGCAAAAGCAAACACTCATACAGGCAAAGAAAGCAAGGAATATAAAACTATACGTAAGATTCACCCTTCAGTGACCACTAAGGAACCCAGAGGCCTCCCCCCATGAGCTTGTTCTTTACTACCCACTCGTGATCTGAAAAGGTGGCAATGTCAACCCAACCTTTTCACCGTAAAGAAAACAAACAGAAGTGAGTAAAATCTCGGTTTCCGGCTTCTCGAAAGATACTAACCATTACTGAGGTATGAGCAACGCCCCCCTAAAAGCACCCTACTTAGAAAGAGATACCGGGGTTGGGGGGGGGGGGAAGCGGGGAGAGAATCAGGTGAGCTCAGGTTAGAAAGGACCATCTTTTTAACTTCATCACCCAAGGGGACCCACGGGGGGGGCTGGAGAGCAGGAACGTGAGATCGGGGTGGGGGTGGGTAGCAAAGTGAAATCTAACCCCAGAAATCACAACACACAGGCCTCAGCCCGAGAGCTGAAGCTGGCGGGAAGTGAGCGCTCTTTCCGCTCCCAGGGGAAAGTCCGGGCCAGAGCGGCTCCACACAGCGGACAGACAAGGCGCCAACAGGGCATGCCTACCACCGCGCCGGGAGCGCTGGAGGACCGGGCAGAGAAGGGGAGGAGATCCCGGCAGACGGCCCTGGAAGAGGAGGACTGAGGCAGGGAGCCGCGGCGACGTCTGGATAAAGGGGATTACCTTCACTGTGACGACAGAGAAGCGTCTTCGGGTTCCGGCGATAGTCCCGACTGCGCAACGTGTGGTGTCTTTCCCGCTTTAGCCCGCAGCAGCAACAGAACCAGCTCCTTCAGCCAGTCGCCATTTCCCGCCTACCGACCTGCTGCACCGCACGGACAGGGACCCGGATGGAAAGCGGCCTGTGCGCGCAGGCGCGGTGACTTCCTCCTCCGCCCCCCCCCCCCCTCCTCCCGCCACAATTCCGCGAGGTGGGAGGGAAGGAATGCGGGCGGCCACCGCGGGGACGACGGGGGGTGGGGGGGTGGGGGGGGAGCTGTGAGGGGGAGTGCGGGGGGGGGGCGGAGAGGCGGGGAAGGAGGAAAGGAAAAACAACTTTGACTTCCGTGAAGGGGTTGAAGTACCGGACGCCAGAAAAAAAAAGAAAAAGCTCGGTTCTAATCACTGGCTCAGAAAAAAAAAAAAATATATTAGATCGGGGTCTCAGGACCGGACGAAGAAAGCAATGACAAAAACGATCGGGGCACGCGAGGGCCTGGGGGCTATTTGTACTTCAGGGGCCTCCGTAGGCGGCCGTAGAGTGGTCGCAGGGGGAGTAGGGAGTAAAGCGTTAGGAATGGGGAGGCGGAGACGTGAAGGACGGTTTTTCCTCCCGCTGCTAACGGAACCGCTGGAGGCCGAGCTAGGAAGGGGGTGGGGGGGGAGGAAGGAGGGGCGGGCCTTGATGACGCGCGCTATCGGCGCGGGGGCGGAGCTTGAGGAGCGCGCCCTGGGCTCTGGGGGCGGGGCTTAGCGCGTCGCGCAGCCTGGCGGCTAGGTTTTAGTAACTCTGGGCGCGATCGGTGGGTGGGGCCGAGCCGGACGGGGCGGGGCTAACGGTTTGGCGCGCTGGAGGAGGTATAAGCTTGTGTTGAATGCTCTCCGAGGCCCCGAGAAGATAGGGGGGTAGGGGGGAGGGAAAGGGGGCGGATCTCGATCCTTTTCCTGGGAGGCTGGGGTGACCCCAGAGTGTTCTCTCTCCAGCTTCCTCACCTAGATGACCAGAGCAGCTGCTCTGGTGGCTTCGATTCTATTCCACGCGTGGTGGCGGCGGCGGCGGTGGTTCTTCTGGCGGAGAACTCGGATCTTTGAGACAATTAGGCTTCTCACTACAAAGCCTGGGTCGAAGGATGGTCAGCGCCCACGGAATGAAACAACATATCAATCGGGAGCGTCCAGGCCTCTGAAATGTCAGTCTGTTAGTGATTAGGAGAGTTACCTCTGGACTAAAATTACAGGCCATTCTCATTATTCAATCATGAAGTGTGCGTTGAAAAAACATATATACCAGGTAACCAAAATACAACAGTTACAAAAAAGAAAAGGCAAGTGCAGACTACTGGTCCTCTAGAGGCTGCTGACAAGGACTGGCCACCTTGCCCATCCAGGGTTGAAATTGGATCTTGACAGCCTTCTTAGCTCCCCAATCCAACTGTGATATTCCCAATCTCTGGAGTAGCTAAGATTACAGGCCTGAGTCACTAGCATCTTGCCCTAGTTACTTTAAAATGTAAGAAAACCTAGGAATGTTTATGAAAAAAAAATTCTTATTAGTTATTTCAAGCATTTACACTGTACTTATGTTAAAGTTTTACTTCAGCACACTTTACTTTCTTCTAGTCCTGGTTGGGCACTACCATTTGTGTGAGTCATGTCTCCACTTGTGGAGAATGTCTCTGCCCGGGGTTCCTCAGATCTCAGCTAGGATTATGGGCATGGGCCACCAGCACCTAGCTAAAACAACTTCCATATGAACTTTTTATTCCCAACAACGCAGATATTTGAGATAGTTGATAATTCTCTCCCATCCTTTCAGTTGAAGACAATGAAATTTAAAAAAATTATGCCTTAAAGGCATTACCATAGAAGAAACTAAGAAACAGTTGATTATACCCTCATTCTATTCACCACCACCTCAGGGGGTGTATCACTGTGAGTTAAGTTTAGTAAGCCCAAATGCTTTTGCAGTTTACTTAATATCCTAAGACCATTTTCTCAAAGTAAGACTGTTATTTGTTTTTTATTTGTTATATTTTCCCTATTTAGTAACAAAGTATTTTTAAGTTCAAATATATTTATGAAAGAGTAACAAGTTGTGTCCCTTTCTCCTGAAGTGGCAGTTGTTAATGTCCATAAACTTCAGTAATAACACTGTCAAAGATTTAGACTGTCAAATTTTAATACAGGAAATATTAATGGGGCACAGTGGCACACACTTAATACCAGCTACTTGGGAGACACAGGAGGACAGAGTTCAGAACCAGGCCCTCCTTTCTAAAAAAGAGAAAGAGGAAATACTAAAAAATATTAAGTTACCTTCAAGTTATCTATAAGGTGTAACATACATGATTTTTATATATTTAAACTTGGGTTCTACTTCCAAGATCCCTCTACCTCTCTATTTTTTATATATATACCAAAATATACACATATATTCCAAAATTCCCCCTATCTGAATTCCAAACCACTTTTAGCCCCAAATAGTTCACAAGAGATACTCAACATGTATATGGAATCTTATTTTTCACTTGAAATATAAGGTATAGGTACTTTACAATACATAATTTAACTTTTTTTCTCTGTTGTATGCAGTGTATGTTCTTTCTGCAATTCACTACAGCAATAATGCTTATACTACATATTCAAGAATTAGAACTGTCATTTGCTCCTGTAATTATCTGATGACAATGCCCATTGAAATTTTACATTGTTAAAACTGAACTCAATTTTCTTTCAAACCTGTTCCTCAGTGTTCTGCATCTTAACAAATGCAATTTTTCTTTCTCATACCCCTGTCCAGCCCAGCTGGCCCTCCATATCCACATGGTCCACATCCAATAGATTCAACCAAGTTTCTGTCTGTAATGAACAGGTACAGGCTTTTTGTTATTATTCTCTGAACAATAAACTATCATTTATAGTGCAACAAGTATTGTAAGTAACATAGAGATAATTTAAAATACATAGGAGGTAAGCAGAGGAAGGGGGTTAATAACAGACCAGGCACTGGTGGCTCATGCTGATTATCCTAGCTACTGAAGAAGCTGAGATCTGAGGATGGCAGTTCAAAGCCAGCCCAGGCAGTAAAGTCCCTGAGACTCTTATCTCCAATTAACTTCCAGAAAACTGGAAGTGGGGCTATGGCTCAAAGTCATACAGTGCTAGCTTTGAGCAAAAGAGCTCAGCGATAATGCCTAGGCCTGAGTTCAAGCCCCACAACTGACCAAAACAAAAGAAAAAATGAGTAAAAGGAGCAGCAAATATAAATGAAGTATATGATATCATAGTGAACTCTTTGTACAATTAATTTACACTATACCACATCTCATTGGAGCCACAGACCCCCTGATAAGTTAAGCCATTACAGTAAGTGACGGTCTTCCTTGAAAGTTTTGTTTTTGTGAGGGCTTTTTTTTTTGTACAAGGGTCTCTATCTCTTACTCAGCCTTTTTCACTCATGGCTGGCATTCTCCAATCCAGCTTGCTTTGTTGGTTACCTGCAGGAAGATTCTGCCTGACTTCTCTGCCCTAGATGGCTATGAACCTCTACCCTCAGGTTGCCTGAGAAGCTAGGCATGAGCCACTTGTACCTTGCCTATTGTTTCTTGAGATATGTATTCATAAGCCTAAGATAGCCTTGAACTCTTGTTTCAGCCTTCTGAATGCTTGGATTACAACTATGATTGGCTTTTTTGTTGAGGAAAAAAAAAAAGGAAGAAAGGAAAGGGAAGGAAGGGAGGGAGGGAGGGAGGGAGGGAGGGAGGAAAGGAAGGAAGAGGTTAGCTGAGCACTGGTGGCAGACACCTATAATCCTAACTACACAGGAGGCTGAGATCTGAGGATCATGGTTTGAAGCCAGTCTGTGCAGGAAGTCTGTGAGACTCTTATCTCTAATTAACCATCAGAAAACGGGAAGTGGTGCTGTGGCTGGAAGTGGTAGAGCAGTAGCCTAGAATAGCACCCAGACCCAGAGTTCAAGCCCCATGACTGATAAATATCATGATCTAGCAAATTTTGTTATATAAAAAAAGACACAAAACCTTTTTTAAATGAAGTGACATTTTAGAAATTATTTAGAAGTCATAATCACATTACCCCTAAAATCAATCTTATATGTATGTTTTATATTCTGCACTTTCACTTTTTGGGTCAATAGCAATTAACCAAATTTTCTCCCTGCCTGGCCCCCTTTCTACCTCTTTCTTCACTTTCATTTCACCATAGGTGAACTGTAATATATACCTTGAATGAAAAACTTGATTCTTTGGAATCTGGTCAACATGAAAACATTATTTTTAATCAGTCTTTATCCCCTTTTAAAACTGTTTCCTTTGAGTGTTGTTAGTCTATCTCCACTTGAATGTAAGTTCCAGACTAGATCTTGCCTTTTTGCCAGTCCTGGGGCTTTAACTCAGGGCACTGTTCCTAAGCTCTTCTGGTTCAAGGCTAGCACCCTATCACCTGAGCCATGGTTGTAATTCTGGCTTGTTTTTTGTTTTGTTGTTGTTGTTTTTGGGGGGAGTTTATTGGAGATAAGAGTCTTACAGACTTTCCTGCCCAAGAAGGCTTCAAATTATGATCCTCAGATCTCAGCCTTCTGAGTAGCTAGGATCAGATCTTGACTATCTTATCCACTTACCTTACTACTAAGAACAATGCCAAGCACACAAAAGACATTCAATATCTGTTGAATATTTGAGCCCTATAGTAAACAGCCTGGTATAAAATTTCTGCTTTTAGCCAGCCACCATGGCTCAAGCCTGTAATCCTAGCTACTCAGGAGGCTGGGATCTGAGGATCATGGTTCAAAGCCAGCCCAGGCAGGAAAGTCCATGAGACTCTTATCTCCAATAAACTACTAGAAAGCTGGAAGTGGTGCTGTGGCTCAAGTGGTAGAGCACTTACCTTGTGCTGAAGAGCTGAGGGACAGTGCCCAGGCCCAGAGTTCAAGCCCCCCACGACCAAAAAATAAATAAATAAAATCTGCTTTTTTAGCTTAGCCTAACTAAAAATGGATGTTAAATTTGCTTAAAATCTTAGTGTTTAAATGTTACTATTGTGGGGCACCAGAGGCTCATACCTGTATTCCTTTGCTACTCAGGAGGCTGAGACCTAAAGATTGCAGTTTGAAACCAGCCCTGGTAGGAAAATCTGTAAGACTTATTTCTAGTTAACTACCAGAAAAGCTGAAAATGGAGCTGTGTCTCAACTGGTCTAATGCTAGGGGCGTGCCCAAGCTTGGGGGTTCAAGCACCAGCCCAGCACAGAAAAAAAGTTACTGTTTACATCAGGACTGTAACTATGTATATATCTAAACCAACGAAACAGTGAAACAAGTTTAATTTTTAATTTATTAGAACCCAGTAAGTGATGATTTTAAAAGCAGAGTTCCCATCAAATTAACACTTAATTCAGGGCAAAATACATTAAAAAAAAAAAACTAAACCTTAAGGCAGAAGTAAAACATTATTAAAAAACAGCATGTATAATAGAGACTTGCAGAATGTCAGAATTCTAGGAGACTCACATAACACTACAATGTTAATACAGTCAGAAAGGTTATTGATTGGTCCAAGATTTGTTTATAAAATGTCTAGGCTGCTAATTGAAGAAAATTTTTGCTGTGTAAGTAATAGCTACCATACAACCAAATGACCTTTTATGTCAAAGGAACTAAGGCAGATAATTTCATGGTTTTTATTTTAAAAACTTCACAATATTATATATGAAGTATTACCAAGAGTATTTTTAGATTTATCTCCCCATGCCAATGCCCAGAGGACCTGTATCACTTTCCTTTAACTGCATCTTAAAAGTTCTGTGAACCATCACAGTACTTCATTGTAGGACTGATCTTAGTGATAACAAAAGTATGAATCATTTGCTTTGATATAGAAAAAAGCAATTTCATTAAATTACCAAATCATTTCCTGATGATTAAGGAATTTTAAACTGAAACCTTAAATCTTTTGAATACCTCTTCGAGTGTGAAGGATTTCTTTAGTTCTGCAAATTTGAATTTTGACTGGAATCTTAGTGTGTGGGGAAATGTTTCTGATTTATCTGCTTATTTATTGTTCAATGTTGAGAAATCTTGGGCCCCACACATCGTAGGCAAGTGCTCTACCACTGAGCTATGCCAGCGGTATTAATCTACAATTAATAGTTAGCCCTTGTAAAAAAATAGGGTTAACAACCTTAAGTTTCCCCCTCATAATTAAAAGCTTTTGTTTTCAGGGAGTGAGATAAAATTTATAAGTCCTTTAAATCCTAGAAATCAAGGATTAGCTAGTCTACACATGCTACTGATCAAAAGAGACAAAATGCACTGAAAATAATTTTGTAAGTCTGGAAAATATGGGTTCTTAACTAATATTAAGTAATTATAAAGATTCATTTTATTACAAACTTTTAAGCTACTTTAATAAAACACCTGTAGACCTCACTGCACTTCTATTTATCTGTGCATTAATAAAAACCTGTTAAAAGTCCTTATTTAGTAACTCTGAAAAAGTCCAGTCAAATAAGATCACTAAAGCTGTCAGAAAAAGCTTTGAAATACTGATTGAAGATTTATTTCAAGGTAGATGTAGCCCCTTTCAAGATGTGACATTTAAATGATGATTATCCTCACCACCTTGAACTCTGAAAGTAAAAATTTTAGCCAGTGCTGACTATAGTTAACAGTACTTGAAAATTAAAAATTGAAAATATACTGTCAATCATGCACTCCACAATTTCAAGAACTAAGAAATAACATAAATACTGTTATTTCTTTGAAGGTTATCTCAACTTTCAGCAGGCTTCAGCTGAAAGTTAATCTGCCAAAACACATCAGCACCCATGTAAAATAAAAGCAGGGAAGTGACACTGTACACATTGCCCAGGCTAGCATCCAGTTTCCCCTCATGTAATTTGCCATAATTCCTTAAAGAGCATTACATGAGGGGTACATAGAACACCTGTTGGGCTAACAGGAATATATTAGTATATAAAATTTATTCAGCTGAATAACTCTTTTCATTCTGGTTATGCTATGTGCAAACTATAACCTGTACAAACATTTTCTCCTGCTTGTCTACTGTGGAAAAATTAGGCTCCATAAAGTGTGAAATATACATTAGTTTGCTTTAAATGCAAAGATTAACTATTTTTGGCTCAACTGTGTCATAACCAAAAAAGTCTCTGCTTTAATAATACAATATGAAAAAGTTCACATATGTACATGAGTACATTCCTTCATTAAAGTTTTTCCTTAAATCTATTTCAATGTATCTTTACAACTGATACAACTGATCTTTACAATGAAAGTCAAAAATGACAAAGTAGAAATGATTCAATTTTACAGCACTTTAGGTTTTGTGACATTTCCCTGTGGGACTTAAAGGACATCATTGAAACGCTGCTTCCCGTAGTCTGCAGGATCCATTTGAAGCTCTCGTTCTTCATCATCTGTAAGTAAAACAACTGTGTATCAAGAATAATGTTTTAAAATCACTGCAGAAATCCAATTTAACAATGTCTCAGTTTTTCAGCCTTTAATTTTCTCTTGTTATTTTCTCACCAACTATAAACACTTGCCCTTAATTTTTAGTTGCTTGCCTTTAATAATGAAAAGTCTAACTTTTGGAGAATTAACTTATTTTAAGAAATCTTTTGGTAACTGATAGACGGAGAAATGCAGAGTTACAATAAACATAGCTAGCATTAGGAATATACAGCATTGAGTCAATCCTGTTATTTCTATATAGATGAACATTAGTTCATTGAACTAATGCGTTGGTAGAACAATTTGCGTATATTTTTCATGTCTTAAAAGTTAATTCTTGGGGGGAGGCTGGGAAGGGATGTGAAGGGTAAACAAAGGAGGAGGCTGCAATGCTTGATAAGAAATGTACTCATTATCTTGCCCATGTAATTGTAACCCCTCTGTACAGTATGTTCACAAAAAATAAAAATTAAAAAAAAGTTAACCTTAAGGTAATCCACACTTTTAATGTAAAAATTTAGAAAGGAAAATAAAAGTATCCCCTAGTCCTTTGCTTCCTTGAAAATAGCTTGATTTTAATTTTCTAACCTAAGTAATGCTAATTAACTTTACCAAAAACAAAAACTTTAATCACATAATGTTACTATACAATAAGCTCCTCAAAGCTCTTTTTGAGTAGCTGAATTAAATGACTCCAAAATTTGCTCTGGAGTTTGATTTGGCTAGTGATAGAGTTTGTCACTTTATCTGCCAATGGCAATCCTTTTCCAATTTTGGCTGCAAACTGCAGGTTTTGAAATACAGGAGAGTCTTAAAGCTACATTAAAATAAAAGTGAAAAATATTCTAATCAGAGTCTCAGAGGTCAGCTATGGAGCACCTGCATTTTTATGACATTTTTATGCATTTTTATTTCAGGTTTAGTAGCTTGGTTGGTTGGTTGGATGGTTGGTTTTTTATTTTGGTGCTGGTCTTGAGGTTTGAATTCTGAATCTGGGCACTGTCCCTGAGATTTTGTGTTCAAGGCTAGAACTCTAACCTGAGCCACAGCTCCACTTCCAGCTTTTTGCTAGTTAATTGGAGGTAAGAATCTCACAGACTTTCTTGCCAGACTGGCTTTGAATTATGATCTCCTCAGATCTCAGCCTCCTGAATAGATTGGCTTGATTAAAGGCACATGCCACCTGTGCCAGGCTGGTTTACAGTAAGTTTTTGACTTGAAAAATTTGTTCTCTCAAAAGTGCCAAACCACTTTCTTTTATCCTTTTAAGAACTTTCCTGTTAAACCTACATTTAGAATTAGAAACAAACAATTCGTACCATATTCTTAAAACCAAACACACTTCCTTAATAGTATAATCTGCTACTTAACTATATGATAACCTCAAATCTGTTATAATATGCAAAAGATTAACATGTAACATACCAAGTAATTAGTTATACCAGGGAATTATAATTATACCATCGTCAATTAATTATAACACAGGATTTCATTTTGATATGCCCATAGACGCATATAATGTACCTTAATAAGACTTAACCCCTTTATCTCTCTATGCTTCAAAAAATATACATCTTATGCATATCCTAAGAAACTAGGAAAATTGAGGGGAGGTGTTAGGTTGAGAGGGATGGGTGAGAATGCTGAAATTAGGTATGGATCATTAGGCATTTGTCTGTGCTTCAATTGTTTCTATCTTTGTTTACAAAATTTCAATGGTGGCAGTAAATTTTCTATTTTCTTCCCTGGGCTGGGGAATAGATATGTTCTAGGAATCCTGAAATCTGAAATATATTTTCCATAACACTTATGTTAATTAGTGATTCCACTGTAAAGGAAAGCACAGAATTTTAAAACAGAATGGTCACTAAGAGCTTAATACTGTCACATACAGATGAAGAAACTGCAGTCCACAGGATTTAAGCAACTTGAAAAGTAATTTACAGCCTGTCTCTTGACTCTAGCCCCATGGTTTCTTCATTGTATTTTATGGCTGTTTGGCTACAAGAGCAAATTGCATTGGGAACCCAGTAATTAGATCTACATTTGAACAATGAAAAAATGCTTTCAAACTCTACAACTTCTGGTTTAGTAATAAACATTTGGAATCTAACTTGTTGGTAACATAGAGAACTACATAATACCGTAATACCGCCCCTTCTACCTTTGGACAGTTAATACCTCAAAACATGTCTAAAATTATTTTATGTCTCTCATTATTTTAGTCTCTTTAACAAAATTATCTCTATTTGCTATAGCATCATGTTCTTGCATCTTTCTGTTCTCTGTGGAAAGAGAGTCTTGTAACAATCCTACCCTCTTCTTACTATTGTCTAATAAACCCCAGAATGGAGTTGTAACAATCCCCCCCACATACACACACGCACACACTTCATGTAAGTGTTTTATATTCTTTAGAAAATAAAGGGAATCATGAAGACATTTCTGATGGCAAAGAGAAATGCAAGAGGGAAGGAAGAAGGGAACAGGAGAATGAGAAGGCATTAAAAATAATTTACCTACTGTGAGTAAAACACAAAACTATTAAACTTAAAATTTTTAAACTAACTTAAACACAGCCAAAAAATATAACAAACAATTAGCTATTGTAATAAACCCCTCAAAACTGTCCAATGAACTAGTGAAGCCTTTAAGAAAAATTGCAGACCATTGTAAGTACAAATCAAGCAAAGCTTATAAGACAAGAAGTTAAAAGACTTGTTATTATCCTACTACTCACAGTTGCAAGAATAAAAGCATAAAGTTATCAGTTAATAACATTGACTGAGGTTCCTAAGTGCCAAGTACTGTAGAAGGATGGGTATGGAGGCAGAAAGGAATACAAACAAAAGAAAAGGCAAAAAACGAAAATCCCTGCCCTCCACGAGCTTATGAGCTTATGAGCTAATTGATATGATATGCAATCATGAAAATATAATTGCAGATAAATATATTCCAAGCAAATCACAAAAGCAATGGGGATAAAGGGTAAATATGTGAAAAAGGATGAAATTACAGAAAATGTGAGTCAAATTTATGAGATGTAACCAAAAAGTGCTGGGAGAAATTCTCACTAGTACTTCTCTATATAACTCTTAGTACTTAATTAATTTCTCTTCTATGTCTAACAACTATGCCTCCCCCAAATCTAGGATGTACTATCAAAACAATATCTAGGTGGATGTTAAGAGTTCTGGTTTTTCTTTTTGTACTAACTATATATAGTATTGAAGGAGAATTATATTTCCATCTGAATTTTTAACAATTCTTGTCATGAACCTAAATGAATGGTTATTAAAACTTCAAAAAAAGCTGAGGAGAAAACCAAAACAGGTTACAGTAAAAAACTTTTATGCCCTATAATATAAAAAAACTTACATCCTACAATCATAATCAACTTTTGTAGAAAATCTTAAAACTCCACAAATACAAATATAAGCAGGCAAAAAACAAGCCTGAAAGCTTGTCATAAAGCAATATACTCTGACATGCATGCACAGGTGGGACTGCATGCAGATACTCAACTTTCACTAATTTAAAAGCTCAGAAATAATAGTTAAAACAAAAATATGTTGAATCTGTGCATTAATTATAAAAAGATAAATTTTCAAAAATCATTAAAAGTAAATTTTAAGACTAGCAGAAAAACTTCAAAAGTAGAGTGGCCTTTCTATTCTGTATCAGTGAATGAATAATTTTACCTTCAGTATTGAGGTCAATTCATTCATAGCTTTTCTTATAGCAAAAAGCCGGCGGGGCAATACTTGTACTTAGAATAACAGAATGTTTTCAGATAAGAAACTAGAAATAAAAAATATTTGCGGGGGCAGGTGCCAGTGGCTAGATATTCAGGAGGCTGAGATCTGAGGATCGTAGTATAAAGCCAGCCAGGACAGGAAAGTCCAATAAACCATTCAAAACACCGGAAGTGGCACTGTGGCTCCAGTGGTAAAGCACTCACCTTGAGCTAAAGAGCTGAGGGACAGCGCCCAAGCTCAGACCCAAAAAAAACGGGGAGAGGGGAGAAGCATTGAATTCTAATGCTTCTGAAGAGTCTGAGTTTCAAATTTTAACTACATTGAGAACATATAATCTAAAATTTAAAAAAGCAAAACTGATACATGTTGTAAAGGTTTTCATAATAAAACTAAAAACTGCACAGAACCTTTTTGAATTAGTATTAAGGTTTATGCTAATAAGGCCAAAGTTCTATACAAATTCAACCAAACAACTGAGAGGTGGGTTTCTCGGTCACAGCATGGATGCCAGGCCCACGCTCACCTTGGACGTCTTCCTCTCCACCATCACCATCTTCTTCCTCATTGTAAGCCAGCTCAGCCTGCTTGTCTGCCTCATACTCACCTACGTTACCATCATCCCCATTATAATCCGCCAGTTTAGAGCCATGCTGCGGATCAACAGGGGACTCATTCTCATCAAAGAATCGGCCTGTGAAGTAGGTAGAGGATTAATTCAAGAGTAAAGGGAAGAAAAGAATGGCCCTATACTGAAGATAGATGAGAAAGCAGACAGTGAAACCTGGAAATTTGCAGGGTACTAGTTATAAAAAAGGATACATTTCATAAAGGTTATACTAGACAAGCATAATTAAGAGTGAAGACCTCATTCAAGAATTTGTCTTTTGAGTTCACACCTGTAATCCCAGCTACTCAGGAGGCTGATATCCAAGGATTGTGGTTCAAAGCCAGCCCAGGCAGGAAAGTCCGTGAAACTCTTATCTCCAATTAACCACCAGAAAACTGGAAATGCCACTGTGGCTCAAGTAGTAGAGTACTGGCCTTGAGCTGAAGAGCTGAGGGATAGTGCTCAGGCCCAGAGTTTAAGCCTCAGCACTGACAAAAATTTAAAAAAAAATTAAAAAATTGTCTTTTGTGTTTAATACTTGTTACTTAAGATTTGAATGCTTTTTGTCTTTTTTAATTATTGAGACAAGGTCTTACTATGGAGCTCAAGCTAGCCTGGAACTTGCCCATACTAGTCTTGAATTCATGAATTGCCTTGCCTCCCAAGTGCTGAGACAGACTATAGCCATTTGATCCTCCACCTGATGATTTCAGTGTTTTCTTAATTAAAAAAAATTTTTTTAAAGGTACTACTTTTAGGATTGTTTTTCTAATGGTCCTGGGGCTTGAACTAAGGGCCTAGACTTGTCCCTGAGCCTCTTTGTGCTCAAGGCTAGTACTCTACCATTTGCGGCACAGAACCACTTCCAGCTTTTTCTGAGTTGTTTATTGGAGATAAGAGTCTCAGAGACTTTCTTGCCTGGGCTGGCTATTTTTTGGGGGGGAGGTCAGTTGTGGGGCTTGAACTCTGGGTCAGAGCACTATCCCTTAGCTCTTCAGCTCAAGGCCAGTGCTCTACCACTTGAGCCACAGCACCACTTCCAGTGCTCGGAGTGGTTTATTGGAGATAAGAGTCTCACAGAGTTTCCTGCCTGAGCTGGCTTAGAACCATGATCTTCACATCTCAGCCTACTAAGTAGCTAGGATTATAGGTATGAGCCAACTGCACCCAGCTCAGGATTGTTTTTCTAATGACCCACAATTTCTCTATTGGACAAACACTTCAGTAGAATGAATTATTTAAATCCTGGAGATAACACATATTTGAAGTTCGTAATCATCTGTTGCTTTATCAACTACTATTTCCCATGAATAATACTGAAATCTTTAAAACAAATGAGTGCAGACTAAATTCTTTTGTACACTAATACAAACTATCAGAGCTGAGGCTATCTCATATTCCTTTAATAATTCCCAATAACATGGATTCCAAAAAGACACAGAAGAGAGAGCAAGAACCAGACTAGAGCTTTGAAAGAAAATCCCAATTATTTCTGGTTTCTCTCTTTCCATTTTCATTATCAAATTAAAAAAAGAAAAGTCAGTAGAAACTTAAGGAAGTTCACCTACCAGAGATCATTATGCTGTACACATTCCTAACAATTACAGATTAAAAAAAAACATAATAGTTACTATGATAGAAACCTATTCAATTAGACATTAAAAATAAAAATGATGGAAGTGCCACTATGGCTTAAGGCTAGCACTCCTGAGTGAAAAAGCTCAGAAACAGCACCCAAGCCCTGAGTTCAAGCTTCCTGACCAACAGAAAAAAAAAAAAAAAAGACAAGACAGGTACACTAAGACCTAACTTAAAACATAGGTTAAAAACTCTAGCCGGGGGCTGGGAAGTTGGCTCAGTGGTAGAGCACTTGCCTTGCATGCCTGAGGCCCTGGGTTCAATTCCTCAGCACCACATAAGCAAAAAGAAAAAAGCCAGAAGTGGCACTGTGGCTCAAGTGGTAAAGCACTAGCCTTGAGCTGAAGAGCTGAGGGACAGCACCCAGGCCCAGAGTTCAGGCCCCACAACCGGACCCAAAAAAAAAAACCAAAAACCTCTAGCCGGGCATTAAATTTAGCATTATCTAGCATGAAAGTTAATGTGTTAATTTGTAAAACATGAATTAAATCAACATGTAGGAATTTCAGACTTAAGACTTTAACAATTTTCTAGAGCCTGGCATGGTAGTAATGTCTATAATTCCAGCTACTTGGGAGTAAGAGTATAACCCTGTCAAAAAAAGCTAAAGCAAAAAGAGCAAAAAGGGTGGCTTCAGAGACTGCTTGCCTAGCAAGGTAAAGACCCTGAGTTCAATCCCCAGTACCACCAAAAAAAAAAAAAAAAATTGTCTTTGCTTGGAAAGAAAGTACAAATCATAAGGATTATGGAGTATTAGCTACTTCTACGGATGGGTTGCCACATCATCAAGGCAATACATTTTTAATTGCTGGTTAAAGTGTTAAACAGTAGGATAGTTAAATAACAAATATTTATAGGCTTTTAAAGAAACCATGAAACCAAAGTAATAGAGGTCAATAAAGAGAACAATATTTTAGCTAGATGCCTTTAATCCTTGCAACTAAGGAGGCTGAGATATGAGGATTGAGCAATGTGCAAAGTCTGCCAGGCAGGAAAGTCCATGAGACTATTACCTCCAATTATCTACCAAAGCCAGAAAGGAGACACACACACACACACACACACACACACACACACACACACAAAATTTTAAAATAAAATTGAGGAACATACAGTAAGTAAATGGGAAAGTTCATCAAATAAATCCAGACATGGTGGCACATATCTATAATCCCAGCTACTCAACAGACAGAAGCAAGAGGATTCAGAGTTTAAGATAAGTCCAAGCAAAGTTAACTTTGAAACCCTGTCTCAAAAACAAAATAAAAACAAAAGGGCTTGGGGCATGGTTCAAATGGTAGAACAGGGGAAAAAACACAGTAGCAGAGTGCTTGCCTAGCAAGTGAGAGGTCCTGAGTTTGACTTTAGGCAATGTCAAAAAATACATGAGTGAAAAAGGAAAAATGATAATAGAAAGAAAAAAAGGCACAGACTATTTGTTAGAAAAACAAATTGAATAATATAAAACAACCATTTTGATGGCTTTTTAATATTGTCTTTTTCTAACTAAGTACCAGTGGCTCCTGTCTGTAATCCTAGCTACTCCAAAGTCCAAAATTCAAAGCCAAAGCAGACAGAAGTAGCTCAAGTGAAAAGTAGCTCAAGTGGTAGAGCGTCAGCCTTAAGAAAAAAAAACTTAAGTGAGAGTATGAGGCCCTGAGTTCATGTCCCAGTACTGGTACACAGAAAAAATAATTTAAAAATACCTCTTCCTAACGATAAAAAATAAATGGTGCTCAATGTAAGTAGGAAAAAGATTTAAAGACATCCCCATTGTCTTTTTCTCAATATGAATGTTTACTTAAAAACAAAACAGCTGGGGGGCTGGGAAGGTGGCTCAGTGGTAGAGCGCTTGCCTTGCATGCATGAGGCCCTGGGTTCGATTCCTCAGCACCACATAAGCAAAAAGAAAAAAGCCAGAAGTGACGCTGTGGCTCAAGTGGTAGAGCGCTAGCCTTGAGCTGAAGAGCTGAGGGACAGCGCCCAGGCCCAGAGTTCAGGCCCCACGACTGGACCAAAAAAAAAAAAAAAACAAAAAACAGCTGGTATAGTTAATCTGTATGTAGTGAAAAACTGCTGTTTTAAACAAACACTTATATATGTTAGGTACCAGTGAGCTTTTCAAAATGTTCTACATTTCCTCCAATAAAATTGTGCACTTTCTTTTTTATAATCAAGAATTATGAAATACAGAAAAGGAAAAAAAGCCTAAGAAAATTACTGCAAAATATAGACAAATTACTAATCTTGTTAGGCAAGGAAAATTAATTATAGAAATGGCCTTTCTGTACCTATAATATTCCAACAGGGCAATTTAAGCTTGTATTGCTGTTTTTTTTTAACGCCTTGACTCATCTAACTAGCTTGAACTCAGTCATAAAATTTTAATACTATAATTAAGGTAACAGATAATTTTAAAAATCATGAATAAATGACCACACAACTTCCCCTTTTTAATAGTGAGCTGTGATGCAGGGTGCCAGTGGCTCATGCCTGTAACTGAGGCTACTCAGGAGGATGACATCAACAGATAATAGTTCAAAGCCAGCCCAGGCAGGAAAAGTCCATGAGATTCTTATCCCCAATTAACCACAAAATTCCGGAAATGGAACTGTGGCTCAAATGGTAAGACTGCTAGCCTTGAGCAAAATAACTCAGGGACAGCACCCAGGGCCCATGTCCCAATACCAGCACACACACAAAAATCATGTTTGGAAAAAGACCTAACACCAAAATTGAGTTTCCAACATTCTCATAGAGTATAAGAGAAGAAAACCTAGACAAAGTTGCCCATTAGTTGGGGATATACAATAAGCTTCATATTTTGCATAGTGATGTTTGACATTTTAGGTAAAAATGCATTACACTAATCAATGTAATAGATGGCTAAATTATATAGTTCCTGAGAAATACATCAATGTGAACTAAGAGTAAGAAGAGAAGGTTTCAAACCATTGACAAATATGGGCTGAGTGTAGCTCAATGGCAGTGTGTGCTTAGTGTGGCCCTGGGTTCCTCTAGAGGCACATATATTAGACTAAGCAGAAAAGAAGCATTCAAATCAGTAAAAACAAAGAGTATTAGAGGGTTGGGGAGGTGGCTCAGTGGTAGAGTGCTTGCCTTGAGTGCATGAGGCCCTGGGTTCAATTCCTCAGCACCACATAAGAAGAAAAAGCCGGAAGTGGGGCTGTGGCTCAAGTGACAAAGCACTAATCTTGAGCTGAAGAGCTGAGGGACAGCGCCCAGGCCCAGAGTTGGCCCCACGACCGGCAAAATAAATAATTTTAAGAAAAAATAAAACAGAGTATTAGAAAGTAGGAAGAAGAAATTTGGACAAGGAAATTAAGGATAATTGGGGAAGACTTGTAAGGTTGGTGACTTTAAAAGACCCTCTAATATCTCCTTAACAAGACCATTATTTAAGGGCTGGGAAGGTGGCTCAGTGG